GTTATCAAAAGCCTTATCAGCGATTGGTTGCTATTGGCAATTGCTACTACTTTGACTATTTCCGAGTGCCTCTGCCTCCCACAGAAAGCAAAGAGTGATCAGTTTTGACTTTCTTCAAAGAGGATGTTTTTGTTACGTCATGTAAAATTTGTTATGAATGTTTTGAATTTGTCTTCAAATGATTTCAACTCAGATGTGCTTTTGATTTTCAAATCCGCTTCCTCGTGCCATCCGATCATAGCAGCCTGACTAATGTGCTAGCTTAAGCGCATTAAATAATTTGTGAAAGGATTTTTTGATTTTGCAATATTTTCGCTTCCTCAAAATGCGATGAGCGCTAAAAGCCTTTTACAGAGAGTCGAATACGATAGCACAAATAATGCGCCTTCAAGTACTACGGTTGGCGTTGAAATTGCAAACGAAGGGGAGCTGAAATGGTGTGCTTATCTGCTGGAAGTGCAGCTCGAATCGCTCTACCGACTGTTCACGAAGAAGCAAGTGGTTGGTGCTTAAGTTTTTGAGGATTTCGAAAAAAACGTGGGCGCATTGTCAAGTCCGTACTTATAATGTTCTATTAACAAAAAAAAAAGCACAGTATCGAAGGCCTGATTACCACATGAATTACTTACTGTACTAGAGAGGAAAAAATACCAATTACTACTTCGAAACTGATAATATTGCTAGTCCAGTGGTTAAAGCTCAGATTGTAAAATGTGGGTCGGCGTATTTTGATGATCGGATGAGATAACAGAGGAACGAACAAATTCTTGCAACAAAAATAGAATAGGCGAGTCTACAGAGCAAAAAAAAAAACAAAAAAAAAAAGCAAATAGCAAAAGAAAACTATAAAACGGACGAAACTACAAACAAACATAGAAAGCGGTCATAGAAGTCCGATTAGTGGACGAGCAGCCTTAACAGTGGTCAGCATATGAAAGCACTACTTAGCCACTTAGCCAATATGGCAAATACTTGAAAATGAAATGCTTCTGCTACGTACAAATGATTGGGCTATTACAGAAGGGAAACGATGAAGGCGAATGTGCGTCCGTGGCACTGACCATCGATCAGGCTCTCGATATAAGGTTGTTCCTGATTAATTTGTTCGCGTCGTGATTCCGAGCAGGAGATTGCTTGTCGATAAGCTACCAGATTATGTAGATTCTTTTCCGGTGTTGTCGAGGTGCTAGATGACGGTGCCTAAATCTTCACAGTAACAGTACCACATGGCTTGGGAATGCAAAACAAGATTACTGAGGGAAGTGAAAACAGACGTCGGGAGTTGCCGAAAACAGTGGCAACACACAAAATGCCCAAGATAATTTTACAAAAATATGCCCAATAGAGGTGAAAAACAGTGCATAGACCGGACAAGAATGAAGGAGTAAAGGGAGGCACTGGTTAATTTCGTTAAAAGGTTATGAGTACCAAATATCCATGACGGAACATTTGGAAAAAGAAAGCGAGCGCATGGATGGTGTCCGAAAAATGTCGGCATGAGTTTGTCACACATTATAATAAATTGCTTTTACTCGGTATTTCACAAACCAACTCTTTGTTTGCCCTCTCCATCAGGCCATTACCTTGTATAAAGGCATACAAATTGACATGCAATCAGTTTTACAAACCGTAACCCTCGAAAATTGATATTCGAAATACTCAGATTTTGGATAGATTCCAACGAGCCAGTCAAAAAATGGATATCCAGTGAGAACTGCTTGACGATTCAGTTAATTTGTGTGTTGCAGAGATTCACTTGCACAGTTACTCTACCAGCAACTGTTTGAATGGATTCTGCACCGAATCAATGCAACGACAACAAATGGATGCAACCATTCGAATGGTCGGAGCAGCGGTGGCGGAAGTTTTGCGACAATTACGCTCGTTGATCATCATGGATTTGAAGTATAGTTATCATATCGCTGCATAGGAATCACTAAAACCCTGAATAAAACCACATTTTCACATTTTGAATTTCGGAGTGCCCGCCGCAGTGTACTGCCTGGTGGTCCCTTCAAACTCTTAGCAGTTCCCCTAACTTTCTTTGTAAATCCGGAAAGTATTTGTATTGCAGCGTTCCGGTAGCATGAATGGTTTTGAGCAATTCTGTATTAATTTGTATAGCGAGCGACTGGAATGGTACTATCAACAGAAAATGTTAAGAGAGCTGCAACTGGAATATCAGAAGGAGGACATATCCGGTGTTGATGTGCGAGTAATCATTTTTATGCGTTTTTGCCTATATGCAAATTGCAAAAACGCATATTGGGACGACCCTGTCT